AACAGGAGTTCCCGTTGATTGCAGTGGAACCCAGGAAAAACAGCACCACAAACAGTCCTACCTTTGTGAAACTGATCATGCTCAACTGTTGCGAAACTGTATTAGAGAGATGACTCAACTCTATGGTACTTTTAAAGGCTTAGTTACTGGACAGCATTAAAGTGACAGATGGATTTTGTTCCCACATGGGTGAACACGGATCATACCTAAATGCTGCAGGTGCTCCTTAAGCTGCCAGTATGCTTCTTCAGTAGTGCTTGTCAGATGGTCGAATAGCTTTGGGCATAACTCTTAAGCCTGATTTATACTTCTGTGTCAAATCGACGCCGTGGCTTACGGAATAGCCTCGTACCCTACGCATATGCCATAGCCTGACGTGCACCTTCCACAGCATTTACATGTTGTGGCAACGCAGAAAACAACTGTGATTGCTTTGTGTGTGTGTGTTGTCTGAGAATGGGAGGCGACCGATGCAAAACCCAGATGAGTTAATAATGCTGTCTGAGAATCCCTCTCCACACACACACACACACACACACACACACACACACACACACACACACACACACACACACACACACACTATCAAATCGTGTCCTCATGCACACAGACAGAAAAACAGGGACACATGGGACGCTGCCTCACAGCTTGACTGTCAGTCCCCTAGTATTCCCTCATCCTTTCGTTTCATGGGTGGCGGGGTAAAAAAAAAAAAAAAAAAAACGAAACAGGGAAAACAGAAGACAGATTGAGGAGAGAGACGAGGGAGAGTTTCAGTTTCAGTTTCAATTGTTTCAAGTGCAACGCAGACACACCGGCGCACAAGTATAAATGCTCACAATGGCGTAGCTCACTTGCGTAGGCTACAGCGTCAAATCTATGTACAATTATAAATCAGCCTTCAGTAACTATGAACATGCCACAACTTTACAGACAGACTATCCAGTTTGGAAAGTTGATCTATCCAGCAAATGAAAGAAACAGACAGACATAAATACCATATAAATAACTTTGAATCATCAATCAACATCAAATACAATTGTATATAAATAAATAGAAATCACTTAGTATGGCAATGTTGGCATAAGAACTGCATATGCTGTGAAGATCATAGTATTAATATAATGTAATAATGATAATGTCCAGATTTTAATGAGAAAATATATTTGATTCTTTAACTATTCCTTTACATCCTCACACAGACATTGATAGGACTTACATGGAATATATGCTTAGCCTTTAAACTTGTGTGAAAATACACGTCAAATGATTGTTTGGACAGTTTCAAAGTGTTGTGTTGTTACCCGTAAAAATCACTGAATTAATATACCAACACACTCAATCTATGTGTTGTCAACGGATTGTCCGACTTGGTGGATTTGCAGCCATCCACTACCACAATTAGCTGATTGCAAAGTGACATATTGGTGACAGACACTACAGCCACCGTTGGATATGATGGGAAACATGCATTCTAAATGAATGATGGTGGTTGGGAGTATATTAAAGTATGCATCAGGTGGCTCCAGCCAGATAGCCTGACTGGTGCTATATTTGGCTGCACCTGGAAGTTTGAATTATGGTTACTTTTTTTGGCATATATAAAGAAAAAATATACTCGTATTTCCAAGTTTATAAAAAACCCAATGCTGCAGCAATGCCAACAGTCTGTACTTAAAGTGCCTGTGAGGTCACCTAGTATCTAGTAACTACATCACCTGTAATAATCTAAAGATAAAACAACTAAAGATAGAACATTAGTACTACAGCTGTGCAAGCAATGCAACGGGCACAAACTCAGCACCTTCAGGGGAAATTATATTCACCCCCCCCCAATCGGAACATGACTGACAGCTGACATAAGCTGTGAGTGTGTGTTGGGTCTTAGATCATTAATCAGACAGCACGCCGACAGCACTGATGAATTGCCTTCTCTACTGCATAATCTACGCGCTGCTTTCCCTCTCGACCTTCACTTGCGATTGACTGTGTCTATGGGAAAGAGTAAAAGTAGAGAGAGGAGGAGACAATCTATCTCCATTATCCCCCCCCTGAGTTATTTAGCATCACATCAGGCTCACTCCTTCCATCTCTGCTCTTGTTTCCTGCTCTGTCACTTTTTCATTTCCCCTGTCTTTAAAACTCACTATCTTCCTCTCGTTTCTTCCCTCTGTTTTTTCCACTAGCTGCAACTCTTACCCCAGGGAAATACTCTGTTTCCTAATGACATGTACGGATTGTGTGTTGCAGAGGATGGGATGTTGATGTTGCCGAGAGCGTGACACTGTTTAAAGTGAGTTACTATTCTCGCCAGTCCTCCAGGCTCACGTGCGTGAACGAGCATGCAATAATAGGCACAATATGTCTAAATAGTGTTTCTGCACTGCTGTAAGGGTTTCCTTTAAAAGTAGGTGCACACTGCCTCCTGCTGTTCAGTGATGCAAAGGGACGTTTCTACAGCATAATCATACCTAAACATTATAAAGTACAGAGTAAAACAACTGCTGCGGCTTGGTGCCAATCTATCCCCCCAAATGAGCGCTGTGTCTGGTTCTCAGCCCCCCCCCTCAAAAAAAGCCCCCAACCCTCCATGGGTCACTGTTCCATATTTCAGTTCCTGTCCCAGAAGTTAACAGACCATCTGAAACACACCTGCTACTTCGGCGTTGTGGGACAGGAAAGGAGGAGAGGACGCCATTTTTCCACGGCAAGTGAATCCGGGGGGGGGACCAAGAGGCTCAGTGCGAGAGAGAGAGAGAGAGGCAGAGAGGAGCAGAGGTCACAGCTGGGCCAGTCCACCAAGCACAATCAAGCATGCTTATGTGTAATGAACGGATAATTTGCTCATGGGGTACACAAAAAATAAAATTTTCAACCACTAATCGAACTCTATTGAGACCATGTGAAACTGGGATTTCCCCACTGACAATGGGAATAATGGGGCAAAACAAAAATGTGCCCAAGGACGAGAAGCGGATCGTTTTCATTTCAGGTCTCCCCCAGCAGAGGACGATGAGCCCAAATCATACAGTGTGATAATCTTAAACGCTATCCATACTCACACTCTTAACCTGGGAAGCCGCTTTTAGACATTGCCGAGTCAGCAATGAGGATGGTCAGTCAAATGATTAACGTGAAGCAGTCTGTCACAACTACTACTGAAAACTGATCACTTAACAATAGATACAAAGACCTACTTGTTGGTATCAGACCCCAATATTAATGTTTATCAAGTTTCTAATACCATTAAAACCATTCTTGCTTTCTTTACTGATGGAGATTATTGATATTTTGTTTAACACTGACTGATTATTAATCTGTAACACCACGCTGGCCTTTTATAACAATGGAAAAGTTCAAGTATTTGTGTTTTTTTGCTCTCTTGGCTTTATTTCAGACAGTCAGTCTGTTGTGTATCTGCAGGGAGTGGATTGTAAACTGGTTGTAAATCCTGCATGGGTGCACAGGACAGTAGCTATTAATTACACTCAAATGATGAACTCTAACAAACACCTGCCGCTTTCTCCGCAGGCACCTGGTTTGGAAAGGTCAGTACAGAGGAAAAACATCAAGGCTGATATGTGGGCAGCGTTAAGGGCACACACTAAATGGATGGGAACGACGGGAAATGTTTTATTGTGTGAGATTAAGAGCTACATTTAATGTTTTAGGGGCCTAAATGACAGTAGCACAAGAGGTTTGGTAAATAGTGTGCGTTTTAGACACCATACAGAGCAACAAAACCCTAATGTCCCAAACGAACCAGTATGCCAGAGTTCACAAATGATACTCATTTGGAAATGAGAATGTTTTAAAGCTTAAGCACAATTCAGTTGGAACCCTCAACCTTTACAGACATTCAAGTCGGTGTCAAGCATAAATTAACGAAGCACTTTCTCCACGGTTGATGAAAATGTTCAATTAAGTTCCACAAGGCCTGTGGCTTTTGGCCAGGACACATTTCACCATTTTGCATCCATGTCTTTCTTGCTAGGTTGGCAGTAACAAGACTGTGAGAGAACTGTGTGTTCTCACTCAATTACAAGACAAGAGGAAGGAGACTGGCTGGAGGGGGGAATTTCAGTTATATATTTATGTACGTATGTATGTATGTATGTATGTATGTATGCATGCATTTATGCATGTATGTATGTATGTATGTATGTCCACAGACTTACAAGTTCAGCAAGGTGAAGAAATTATACTGGGGTGGCTTTTTGCATTCCATAGTTTGGTCACTGCTTGGAATCTGTCTGCAAAAAGCTTCGACAAACTTACATTTGTTCCTCCAGATACCAAATCTAAAAGCTGAATAGGTGCATCAACAATTGAGCAACAAGAACCCAAATGACATACTCTGTATATAAATACAGCATGACACAAGAGTTCAGGACACAGCTAATTATACTCTTTAGGTGCACAGAAAATATAAATTCATTCAACAATATTTGTTTCTAATTTAAACTCTAATAATGAAAAACTGTTAGAACTATGAGAATGTAGATGCCATCTTAAAATACTGGACATTAACTGTTACACAGCACATATGTAGCTGTAAATAGTTTGCCTAAATCACCGACAAACATGGCAAAACCATCAAAACCAGGTCATTTTAAAGAAGCAGCTTTACTGAATAAAAGGGATGGGTCTTTTTTCAAATTTGACTTGAAGACGTCCAGCAAACCTACTTCTATAGAAAGGCCCCAGATTTTTTTTGTTACTTGATCTTAAAAGGAAAACTGCTGTGGCATGCCCTTTCTAAGGGAAGACCAAAATGGAGGATGAACTTCAAAAAAACAGCAAACCCCATAATAATACAAAATTATATAACAGTCTGGCTGGAAATCAACTTCTAGGAGCCTTCTTAGTGATTCCCAGTCTCCCAATCACTACACTAACCTGCTTTTGATCAGATAAAAACATACAAACCATTCTGTTCGCGGAAGACGATAACCCCAAAGGTGGAATAAACAACCAAAAAAACCCCAAAACAGCATAGACAAGTTTTAACTTTTTATTCATTGAGACAACGGGGACATTAAAAGCAGAGCAAAATTAAACAAATCTTCAGTCTTCAAAATCTTTTTGATCAAAACGAAATCAGTATATTTTACAGTAAGGGGACACGAGCAATCAATGTGAGCTCTAAGTGGAGGAGGAGAGAGACACGCCCTGTCATGGGACTAACATTGTACATACGCGTTCAACTGACTTTTTAAAAAAAGGTCAGGAAAGTGAAGTGGAACCTGACAAACCAAAAACAAACCACAAGCACGGTTTTTATTTCATTTTCACTAAATGCCAAGAAACAAGGAGGATGTGTAAAGATTTTCAAAATAAGAACACAAAAACCCATAATGAAGTTCTCCTCTAAGTTTGGTATTTAAAGTGATGCCTGGCTGACATCTAGACCAAGAAATACATCAGATGAACCACAACTACCCTCAGCCAGCCAAAAGATAGACAGGTAATGGAACATGAAAATCAATGTATTTTTGTTTTTTCTTTCCTTTCTCTCCTCATTTACACATGTATGTTCATGTTTTTAAATAAGCCACTACACATTTGTGGTTCACCTTGTTTTTAAGCAGCGATGTGTCAGGTTCAGGATAAGGATGGGTGCGCTCTTCCACTTCTTCCTCCAGATATCCCAGCTTCCCCTGTTGAGCAAAAATGTTCACAGAATGCAATGTTAGCAAAGGCTCCACAACAAATGCTTGTAGCAATGACTGCTGCTACCTTAGCAACAACATCGTCTACATAAAGACTACTGGTCAAATATGTCCCTCAATTTAGCCACAGAGGAAAGCGTAGATCGAAACAAGAGACACTGCCAATAATGCACAAATACTATCCGTATACTAGGACAATAGTATGTTTTGGCCAGAAAATCCTGATCCTTTTGTTCATATTTGTGAGGTTATTTTTTTTAATTTGATCAGATGTTTGAGCTTAAGATCCATCTAAAAAAAAAAAAAGCCCACAAGGTTCGGACACTACCTTAGTCCCTAATCTTATAAAAACAGTGATAAATACCTGTTTGATATTCCTTACGCCAACGCAAAAGTCACATTTCTTAGAGCAGATCTGATTAAGGCAAACGAGGCATCCTACCAACTGAACAAATGGGTCATTATATCCTAAACAAACATTAGGTTTAAACAACACACTACAGGGAAATGGACACAACTTTAGCTGCTGGCATAGGTATATCAAACAGGCAGTTTGTGCATCTCAGCATTTAAAAGAAATGTGCCTCAGAAATTTCTATAAAATTACTTTTTTTTCCCAAACATATTTGAAAGTTAACTATTAGGAAAAAAATAAAATATATATATATATGTATACACACAATCAAAACTTTCAAAGTTCATGTTCTGGAGAAGTACAGAATTTGTTTTTTTTTTCTGACAGGCAACAGCATTCAGAAATGGATGTGGGTAGAGAAAGGAGTACCTGGGGTGAGTACCTGCACAGTTTGACAGTCAGAGAGTATCCATGATTTTTAATTTGCCCTTTTCTCATGTGGTCTCGCTCACAACACCAACGCTGTGTGAGGTATGGAAGTCAGCTGCAATTCATTCGATAAACCCTACCCTCCAGTTAGTTAGTTACGTAATGCCCCCCGGTGCTATAACACCCCCCAAACACACACTGCATGGCATTATCAGGCATAGTAAGCTGGACAACAAATCCATGGCATTTGAGTTATGATTCAAATAAATGGCTTGTTTTTCCACAAATACCTTTGACGATAGCTGGAAGTATGTCTGTGTGTTTACATGCCAGCTGGAGAAAACCCCCGTGATACAAACATGTAGACACACAGTGGCTCGGTTTCCTCTCTATGGAGTGTAATATCTCAGCAAATCAAAATTACATTTTCCTACTTCAAAGTAAAAAAGAAACAAAACAAAAATAAAGAAAAACAGGTAAATACAGGCAGGAGAATTTGATTGGATAGGTTAATATTTTTTCTGCCATTTTGTCCACAAAGACAAATATACATCTATAAAGGATCAAAAACCGATACAAAACGAGGGGTACCTCCGGGCATGTTTGCTCAGGGCTACACTGGCCTTTCCCTCTTGGCTTTGTGTGAATGTTTTCTACCTTCTTCTCATTCATCGGGCCTAGTCCTTCATCTTCAGTGCATACTTATGATGCACTATTCAAAAACAGGATAAAGATATATGCATATAGTACATAAGACAAAATCATAGGCATTAAACTGAACGTAAACAGGGTGGGAGAGGTAGGGTGAGAGGGTGGGTAGGGGAGATGGGAGGGGGGAGGGTCGGTTTGAGAGCCAGGGGGGAGTGAGGAGGAGGACGCACTTACCTGAGCCTGATCTGAGGTCCTATCAGATCAGTTTTAATTGGACTGAGTGTCACCTTCAGAATGGAGGAGCTCTTGCTGGCCGTTAAGCAGAGGGGAGGAGGCAGAGGCAGCCGCCTCTGTCTCCATCGGTTCCGCTTCTGAAGAAGCCTTTATGGAAGCTGCATCGCCGTCAGAGTGCTTGTCTTTTTTAGAGCTGCTCCTCTCCTCTGTCGTCTTACGGTCTGGGAAAACACACAATTATTCATATGACTGATATACTCAAAAAGTACAGTTAGACATATTTTTTATTTAAAAAATAAAAATAAAAAAAATCAGAAATCTGCACACAGACTGAGACAATAAACATAGCACATAATGGTCAACAGAGCAACTTCACACTATTCATCATTAGGTGCTGTGAACAACAAACATGTTAGGTCCTCACCTTTGTCTTTCGATGACCGCTCTCTGTCCCTGTCTCTGTCCTTGCTGCGGCTGCGGTGGCGGTGAGATTTGCGCTCTGAGCTTCGCGACCTCCTCCTGTCACGACTGCGGGAGCGACGCTTTCTGTCAGAGCGCTCACGGCTGCGCCTCCTCTCCCTGTCCCTGTCCCTGTCCCGGCTCCTATAAAAGAAGGGAGAATAAGTCATGAAGGCAACAAGTGAAAAATGTATTTAAATAAAGACACCCTTTTCTATTTAATGGTGTCTCTTCATGCAGTGCCAGCGGTGTATGGTCAGGTGGAGCACATGTTGGTTCTTGTATCTTTTCTGTTCAACAACCAGCAGAGGAATATCATTAATACATGGAACAATGTTCTCTGGGCGTCTGAAGTACGCTGGTGTATGAAGCTTTTGGGTGTATGACTAAATTGACAGGATTGTTTCTCAAGAGTAGTGAGGGGAGGGAAATCTAATGAATAATATTTAAAATGTCAAATAAAAAATAAGTTCAGTTGTGGCACTACATTTTGATAGCACTCAGTTTAATTGATTCTGTCAGCAACAAGTTTGATGCACCTAGTAATTTTCCACTTAGGTTCCAAAATGAACACACCTCAAACAACAAATGCAGTTAAAAATTAGCCTGTCCAAAAAAAAAAAAAAAAAGAAAAGAAAAATGGAGGGGTCAATGACCACAGTTCAAACTCCAATGTTGGTGTTGTTCTGCATGTGGATTTAAATGGTGCCCCTACATCTGGATGGCTGCCTCTATCCATTAAAAAGGAACAAGGAACAGTGCTCTGTTTTTTTATTGTGGTTACTAGACAGACAAGAACATGGTGGTCAGTGGCCAATGACAGTCAGCCATACCTGCTCCGTTTGCGTTCCCTCTCCCTGTCCTTGTCTCTGCTTCTGGACCTCCGGCGATCACGGGATCTGCTCCGTTTCCTGTCTGATGCTCGACTGGAGTGGCGGCTGTTAGAGTGGCTTCGGCGTGCCCTCCTGTCCCTTTCCCGGTCTCGGTCTCTGTCCCGCTCTCTGTCTCTCTCCCTCTCGCGCTCCCGCTCTCTCTCGCGCTCTCGTTCCTTCTCCTTCTCGCGTTCCTTCTCCCGCTCCTTCTCCTTCTCTTCCTCCTCTTTGCGCTTTTTCTCTCTTTCCTCTCTCTCACGCTCACGGTCTTCTCTGTCCCTCTTGAGCGCTGGGCTTTCAGGTTGGGGGTCTTCTGAGCGGCGACGTAGTTTCTCCTAAAAGTAAATAAGTAGTTAATCAGTACCAGGAGCAAAAACAAACAGTCCATCAAGTCAAAATTCATAAGTCCAAATATTTTTTCCGTGAGAACAACAAAAATTGTTCCTTGCATCCGTGTTCTGCTGCAACATAGATCCTGTAACTGATATCGCCTAACATGTGCATACACCGTCTCATGTACATGTGCATTCTTTGTGCCAGGTGATTCTGTTACCTTGAGCTCCTCCACAGTGGATTTGATCTTAGCATAGCCCATGTGTTGCTTGCCCATCAAGTGGTCGTCCACTCGAGACTGTGCGTCACCCACAATGAGGAAGGCCCCACACACCTCACACACTTCCATCTGTTTCTCCTGGGCTGCAAAGCTCTCGATGGTCTAGAAAGAAAGCACAAATCAGTTCCATCACAGGGGCATGGCGTAATAAGCAATGTACTGTATTTCTGCCCTAGAGGACACTCATCCAATTACCCCTTTGCTTTGATGGTTAGTTATGACATGGTTAAAATCAGAATGGATGTCATTGGTTCTAGTGAAGAATAACTTCTAGCTATTTCAGTTGAGTTTGACTTTGTTTAAAAAGAACCTAAACTGTTAACAGATAGTATTAAAGCATCCGTAGGCCGATTAGCCTGGAGTTAGCTGACTCACCGAGGGGGTGGAGCTGAGCAGCTCCCTCTCCTCCTTCAGCTGCTCCACCAGCTTCATCATTCCCTGGGCCTCCTCCACACGGCCCTCTGACCCCAGCTCTTCAATCTGAGCAAAAGCACAACAGAGACGAGTCAAATCAGCCATTTTATCACAATGCAATGTTGTATAGCTGACAACTAGTTTTTTGAGGCGTCAATGAGAGATGTAGGTTGAAGTCAGAGATCATTTCAACATAGGATTTTCCATGGCAGTAATTCCAGCTGTGAGACAGTCTGGTAAAAGCATGTGGCAGATATTAAAATGACAGAATCAGTATTCTGCTATCTTCCAAATACCATTACAACTATGTACTTGTCTTTTATAAAGAACAAATATCACCCCATTTCACCATTATTTCTTTACAAACCTGTACAACTAGATCTTCAATCTTCTCCGTTAGAACCTGAACTTTCTCTTCATTCTTTCCTGATGGGCCAGGACCCTGCTGAAACAAACAAACAATGTATTTCAGGCATTAATGTGGTGCATTGGAGTATCAGATAGGGATGCGCCAATATATCGGCCAATGTACGTTGTGATGATTGACAGCGGCATGAGCAAATAAGATGGTGTTCACCATTCTCAGTTTTCTCATTCTCTCATTTTCCGAGCGACCAGCGGTGTTAAAAGTTGAATAGATTTCAACTTGAAGCGCTCTGAGCGCGGTGCTAAAAACGTCTCCGCTGACATCTTTTTACCGCTGAAGGCGCTTGGCGCTCTGAACACTGAAGCTCATAGGATTATTACATAGGCACTAAATCATCTGAAACACCGGTAGCTCCAGGGACTGGAGGTGCTTGCATTTTCTCTCTACCATCACAACCCGCTGCTAAACTGTTGCAAGGAGGATGCTAGCGAGAGGTCATGTGATCACGTCATGTGATCACGTAGGCCCACTAGTCCTGTGACTTAATCCTGCCATGCTGTAGAGAGGTGTGAGGAGTTTCCGCGAAGTAATTTAAATACTCGATAATGGAAATTTGCACATCGTCAAACCAACAATGACAATATTATCTCAAATAATATATATTGCCCACCCCTACTCTGCACTGACACAAATTGCACAAAATACTGATGTGCTCCACGCCACAGCACAGACAATGAGCAGCTATTCAGCTCTGAATCTTTAATTAGACAGAGCAGCAAAAATGCAGCGATGCCTATCTTTGTCGATTTCTCTGTTTTTCCTGGCACAAAAGGGGGAATAACATCACCTATCGGCTAAATTGTTCATTTAAACTTCTGCATCAGCCCAGAATTTCCCAAAGGATTCATCCCTAGTCTAAGATGACCACCGATTTTGTGACCACCGAGAACACAACAAAATCAATGCAGTGGTAAGAAAGGGGTTACAGAATAATGTCTCAGAGCTGAAGCACCAACCCCTGCATTCTGCTGAGCCTGGGAAAGTGCGAGTCGGGCATGTCCTCTACGAATCCGCCGTTCCACCTCAGCCAGGAGAGACTGCAGATAGCGCAGGAAGTCTCGCTCATAACCCTCCTTCATGAACCGAGAGCTTTTCTCATACCTGGATACAATAGGATAGAAACTGTTTATTAGGTGGAAATATCAACACACACACACAAATAATGTTACAAACCACAATGGGAACTTACGTTATCCTAAGATTTTCGTCATGGATTTTCTCACAAGGGCCTGGGAAAGAATTGTAAAACTTTATTATCTTCAAATAGAACAGATGTATGTGTCAGCTATTGCTATAATAAAATCATATTTGCAGTATGGACAGCTACAAGTTCTTGACTTACCCAAGTCAGAGCGAGTGTTTGTAAATAGCTCAGCTGGGCAGAAGCCACACAAATAATACCGACAGACCTTCATGAACAAAAGGAGATAGTTTAGTATTTCAAATATATATGATAAATGTGGAAAACATTCTTTGAATCAACATTAACTTATTCTTACTGGAGACAAATGTTAATTTAGCACTAATATGTTCTCACTCATGACTCTAGCTACCAGGTAACATTAGTTTTACAAACCAAAAAAGGCTACAGCGCTGCTAAATGGTCAAATAAAAACCCTCACTCAAAGCTAACGCTAGCGACAGAGCAAGAGTACAATGCTAACCCACAGCGTTTAAAGCGCTACTGTGAGACATTGAATTTAGCATTAGCATTAGCTAACGATGCTAATTTAACCACCACGCGTGCCCGGACAAACACTACTAACGCTCACTCAAACAATTCAGTGTGTAATTAATCAGTCTAATCTGGACTATTATGTTTAATTGAGCGAACTAACACCCACATTCTACATACAATGAGTTTTTTTTTTTTTTTTTTTTAGCACCTTAGCTAGCTAACGTTTTATTAGCTTATCAAACTAGCTAGGCTACCGTTAGCTACAATGCTAACTTACGCTCTCGTCGTCCCATCGCACGTTGGATCGTTTCTCGTCGGGGGCCAAGTTTCTATCTCGGCCCATTAACTCATCGAGTAACTGGGCTGCCGAAAGCATTTTGGCCTAAACGAATGTAGCCTTGGTTTAAAGTACTACGATATCTCCTGAGGAGCCACTTCACACCATCTATCGCGCGCAAAGTACTTCTAATCAAAATGGCAGACGCCGTAACAACGCCCGTTTAATGGTTCAATACAACCAGAGGTTCCTTCAGCCCCTGAGCCGGAAGTACAAGTTCGACGACAGCATGGAGTTTCGTATTGACCACACGGAACGATGTCAACTATTTAGCTTTGCATTGTTTTATTTTGAAAATATGTACCGGAAGCGACATAACGGTATCGCGTCCGCCTTGACGGGCCTCTCAGTGGACCGCTACGATCTGTAAACGTGGGATCGATCCCTCTATGTCCCTCTATGTCCCTCTATGTCCCTCTATGTCCCTCTCTGCTCGCTTATTTCCCATTCAGGCAGACTTACAACGTGTTTTAAATACATTAAGTTAAACTGCTCTCTCTACTATCTGCCATCTAGTGGTCAAAGTGTGGAACTGCAAGAAATCACTGCAAACTTATACTTCCGGTAATTCCTTTCATAATAATAACAAGCTTAACATAAATTGTTCTCTAGTGATCAACTGTCCGCTACTCTTACTGAACTTAATTTACATTGTTCAAATTATAACAGTATAATTACTATTAGCATGAACAAATAGAGGCCTGTCTCTCAAGCATCTCCCCTGCCTTGATACCCATAGACATATATATGTCTATGTTGATACCAGCCAGGTGATTTGTTTTAGTTTAGTTTAGTTTTTTTTTAATCAGGAATAAGATGATCTGAGTGTATTTAGAATTGCCCACCTGTGGTCACAATGTAGAGCTGCAGCACAATGTTGAAACAGTGGCAATATAACCGCTCAATATTAACACCAGTTATCAGTAACGTCAGTAAGTGCGATGTCATTATAATTATAAGAAATAAAAACATAAAATAGTATTGATAAATAGTTGATTTTAACGATTTAAAAGTTTTCTGTTCGGGAACCTTATTATATACTGTCAATGCCAAGCTGGCATCCAGATATACAAAGGATCACTTCCGGCCATTACTTTCAAAATAAACTGACACAACGGAAACAATCAGAAACTAATAAACAGTAATGATTGATTGTGTTCGTTGTTTTTTGTTGTTTCCAAGTGTTCCCAGTTAGACATTTACATTCTTCTAAGATATTTATATCGTTTTCTGTTTCCCTTACGTGTTGGGGTCCTTCTGTATTCATATATATATAGTTATGAATATATACATATAATTTAGCTATTAACGTTAGAGAATAATTTAATGTAGTCTTACCAACCACTAACCATAACTTATAAGAATATATAATATAAAACTCAATATGCTGAATATGGATTTTTTATTTTTTATTACCCACCGGTTGCTTGGTTACTGATAGCAACACGTGTGCGTTAATAACACTGATTCACTCGTTTTTTATCGGCGGCTTATTTTACTTAACGTCGAGAACCGGTCCCGGTAATTTTACACACGAACTGCTTTGGCAACAAAATCAGACAAATGCCATTTATTATTCAGAGGGGAACTAACATTTGTGCTCGCTGTTGTTACATCCAAACATGCCCCCCGATGAGGCGGTGGTGGGGTTTTTTTGGCAGCCCACTGACGGAGCTCTGACACCGCTGATGGACTGAATGAGTGTCGGCACTGGTGGCGTCTAAAACGTGAACCAACAACAGAAATAAATGCCGAGGACGGAAACCCGCAGCGTTCAAACACTCCGTCCACCGACGCGAAGCTGGGTTAGCCGACGCGACCTGCTGCCACAAGCTAGCACCAAAGACTGCTAGCACCTCGTTAAGCTAGCCAGTAGGTGACGATTAGCCGGGCAGCTAATGTTAGCTGGCAGCTCTATTAATAGTGGACCTGTGTGCCATCAGTAGGCGATTAGTATTGACAACTTAATCCGGGTTGTTTTTGTGTATCCTATGATCTCGCAGCCTTAGTTTTGCCTGTACCAAAATGTCCACCACGTCGCTGGATAAAGAATTACAGGAGCGACTGAGAGAGGCGTCTGCCATCGGGGACATCGACGAAGTGCGGACATTGGTGGAGAGTGGAGTCAATGTTAATTCCCAGAACGAGATAAATGGATGGTGAGTGTCTGAACCGACCCGTGTGGTCTTCTGTACGTCAAACACAGGCCGACGAGTGTTGGCTGTGCTCCTCAGATGTGTAAATGTGTTCAGTGTGTTGGTGCTTATTAAAAAAAACCAACAACAAGTTGAGTGCAGTCGTAGCGGCTGATTGAAGTGCGTTGTTACAGGGATTAAAGCTGGTTCACTGTTATCTTATTAGGCAGAGCAAAGGCTGGTTGCTCAGGCCAGTCTTATTCTTATTCAGACAGTAAATGGATGCCCTGTTAGGTTGTATTTTGGGATGGTTTGACGTGTAATGTGTCTTTTTTTAAATTTTTTTTTATTCTAGTGACCTCCAAACAACAAGTCTATATCCTCACTGCCACAGATAGTTAGTTTATTGACTTAAGTAGCATAAAACATACATTAACATTATAGTCCAATTTAAATTCCATATACAATACAATCCTGTGTGACATAAAAATACAATTATTAAACAGCACTCATGTCATGGTATAACATTTTCAGGCATTTACACTGTGCACTAAGAATTTCTGTGCCTTTTTTAAATAGTGAAGTAAGATTATTTTAATTATACTTTATTTCATTGTACTTTACTCTGATTTTGCCAGTCTGATGTAATTCTTTATGCCAGTGCCACACGAGCACAGGTGCTGTTCAGGTGGTGTTTTCGAGTACGCAACCTGTGTCGTGATATGTGGAACTATGTCAGTCTCATTCTCTCTAATCCCAACCGGTCGAGGCAGACGGCCGCCCACCTAGAGCCAGCGTCTCTCAAACTCTTCAAAAGTTTTTCCTTCCCGCCGTCACCAAGTGCTGACTCCTGGTGGGAGCTGTTGGGTGTCTGTAGTTAACATAAAGTTTATAAGGAGGAAAAGTGTCCTAAGATAACGTTTGTTATGCATTGGCGCTATACGAATAAACCGAAATTGAATGGAAGCGATGTCCATTACACAACATTTTATAAAGTTAAAGTCATATTGTCTTCATATGTCAGTGTTTTGGTTCATTAAACTGTGTTTTCTCTCCAATAATCTCACCAGGACATGCCTGCACTGGGCATGCAAGAGGAACCATAAGCACATAGTCTCCTACCTACTCGGTTGTGGAGCTGACAAAGAAATCCTCACGGCTAAAGATGAGTTGGCCTCACAACTCACATCCAAGCCGGAGATCAAACGACTTTTAGGAGGTACACTACACGTTTCTTACCCTCTCGTCCTGTGTTTCTGTCACTATATTCTCATTATATTACATTATATAATGTTATAACCTCCATAAGTGTATGTACAGTTGTTTACGGTGTTGACCGATGTCTGTGCTGTCATTTTGAACTGTTTTTAAGGAAATAATCCTCTATTTTTACTGCAGTTGAAGTGGAGGAAGTGCCTGAAGTCAAGGAATCTGAGTTGCCAATCATCCCCAACTACCTGTCTAACCCACCCTTCATGTATTCCAAGTTGGATAACAAGTCAGAAGTCCTGCTGGCCCAGCACCTTGCACAGAATGGTTCTGGAGAACATGATGAGGACACGCAGAGCGATTCAGCCTCCCTCTCCCCAACTCACGAGCCTCAGAAATCACAGAGCCTGGTCTCTGATGGCTCCTCTCCTCCCCCAAACCCCACCACCCACAGCCAAGCCCAGGCTGGGGAATTCATTCCTGTGACTGAGCAAAATGGCGTGTCACCCAGCCAGGCCTCATCCCAAAACCACGCTGCTGTTAACTGCACAGTGCCCATGGACCTGTCAGTTGAGCCGCACCTCGTCAACCACGCTGACTACCCGCATGCAGTGGCGCACAACGGCACCATGTGCTCACCTCCGTTACCCTCGCCCAGCCCCAGCTTGGCCAGCAGCAGCGGTAGCCAGGTCCAGGCCCCAGTGGCCAGCGCTAACCCAACTATAAGCAGGCAGCAGTCTATCCCACAGCAGCTGAGCTACAGCCAGGGTGGTGGGCCCATGCCAGCCTTCCAGCCTTTCTTCTTCACCAGTACCTTCCCTGTCAATGTGCAAGGTGAGAGAGTAATCATGTGACATGTACGAGTTGTGTTGAACTTTTGCATAAGGGTTTATCAAGATGGCTTCTGAATTGTGGCAACAACCAGTCTTGCTCGTTCTGTCTGTTAAGTAGATAAGGAGAGGAGATGATAAGCTCTATCCAAAGGTAAAAACCACCTGTTATTTCTTTTAACACGGTCTATCAAGAGCAGTGACTTCCTAGAGTTGTTTTGCCACCATGAGGTTGCCAGGCAACAAGGGGTCACGCCAATAAGTCCCTGTGTGTGGCTAAACACGCCCGTTCTTGCTCATTAAAGGCAAGAGATCCTCCAACTTTGAGTTTATGTGTGACTAGAGTGTAAAGCTGCTGGCTTCTGTTTGTTGTGTGTCTTGAGGTAAGAGACCAATAAGGACATGACGACGTCCTCGTTTTCCCGGCGTGTTGGCAGCCAACTTGTCAAACCAGATAGGGTTATTAGTGGATGTAACATTTTCTCTCAGTAGGATGACTGAACTGTCACCGTCACTAGCAACAACACATTCATTTCATTCAAGTTCTTCACATCACAAAATCTACGATGGTGTGAGATAAATTATGACGCAGAGAAATGTTAAATGTGCATCAGGGTGGTGAAACAGACTTCATTATATCTTGGACCATGTAATTGCCAATATTATGAATTACTAATCACATACACACACACATACATACCCACACATTGGGTTATGTCCATCATCTTTTTAAAAGGCACAATATCTTTGTTAAAAGAGAGGTATCACTCCGGTCCGTCTCTCTAGAGTTGGTGCTGAAGGTGCGTATCCAGAACCCCAACGCACGGGAGAACGACTTCATTGAGGTTGAGCTGGACCGCCAGGAGCTCACCTACCGTTCCCTTCTGAGGGTCTGTTGCCGTGAGTTAGATATCAGCGCCGAGCACGTGGAGAAGATCCGTAAGCTGCCAAACACCATGTTGAGAAAGGTATGAGAAAGAAGGCCTGCATACTGTACACAAATTTTCATCC